ATGTATATATATAGATATATATATATATATATATATCTGTATGTATGTATCGGTATATCTGTATTTTAACAACATCTATCAGCGCTGCATACTTTCGGATCGACGATTCGAAAAAGTAACCAAGTCCAAAAGTATATGTACTGCGCATGACTGGACTACACAGGCGAAGCTCCCCGATGTGTTACTCATTTGCATCTACTAGGCCAAAGGATATAGGCTAGGCCTACGTCCGTGTATGCAAAACTGGATAACCTGAAAAAAAAAATTAAATTTATGACCCGCACATTGGCTCGCATGACTCGCTGGCTCGCACTTTGGCACTACTCGAAAAGAAATAAATCAGTGTAGCACTAGAGACTGTTTCAGTTTATGTAGACTGTTGGTTTACCATGCCATTTTGAAGTAATGGTTGGTACGATTGATGACTGCCCTTTAGTCGTTTGTTGGCTACTTGCCAGCCACCGTTAACCAACGCAACTAGTTTGGGTGGCCAGTGCGCTCCTGTTTCATAATTATAAATCATGTACATTTTTTTTTACAGACAGTTGGATAAAATGGCAGACGAGTACGAGTTTGACAGTGCACTGGATCTACTTCTGATGCTTCCAATTCCTGCATTGCAGGTGATTTGCAGAGATGCAAACATGGAGGAAAGCGGAACAAAACTAGAGCTAATTAAACGCATACTGGGCTTTGAGAAAGTAAAACAAAAAAGTCGAATGACTATGAAGGCTGTGAACAAATGGCTGGAGGATCAAGGTGTCATTGACGTTGACAGTGTAAGCAAATGCCTTCGTGCAGGAATCCAGAAGCGTTCCATTGACATCAGTGGCGATAATCCTCTTGATAATGTTGTCGTCGTTGACAAGTGTTACAACTGTTTACATGAACTAAAAGTGACTATACGTGACCTCCTATACCAACCAGATTCTGTGGGAGTTAACTTCAGGAATGGCGGCAAGGAGGCGACAGTGAAATGTCCGAATGAGAAGTGCAAACTTCTTGGTGTTTATGTGACAAGCATCTGCAGCAAAAGGTCAATGGAGGTTTGTGATGGCCTGTTTCACCACCACTGTAGTCTTTGTCCTGGATTTGGAAAGTGCATTGGAAGTAAGTGTAATGATACTCACTGCCGTGTGTGCGGCAAACATTACTATGCTGGCTTTGAGGGGGAAAAGCAAAAGCAGTGCCCTTATTGCAAATGCTGATCCAAAGATGACTGATGTGGTGGCAGATATTGGTTTTACATTCGAACAGTTTTTAACGATTTATGACTGTGTTTTTTAAGTTTTTAACTTTCCAATTTTTCCAACATTTCTATAGTTAGCAGTTTGTAGTTGGTGTGGACAACTTATGTATTCAATTTTGTGATTACTATAAAAAAGTGTTTAAGATCTTATTTATAATTGTTGTTTTGTGAATGCTTTTGTATACAGTACATTATAAAGCATATTTCAATTATTTTATACTTTTTCAAGAAACTGATATTTTCTGAGAGTTGCACAACCATGGGGGCAGAAAAGTAGTAGGCAGTGAAATAAGAGCATATAAAGAGGTTTGAAGCACGGTAGAGTAGACTGGATTCCACTCTCTAAATTTTGCCATCAGCTGTAGCTAAAAAAGTGACCAGAAAACAAGTTCCGTTCCAGAATAATGGAGACTACTTTTTGGATGCATATATTATTAATTCAATCCTTGCTACACATTGTGTTAAAAGTTCTCCGCAATAAAACCTGCAGTTTTTTGTCAGGACACCTCCAAACATGCTGAATACACCCCAAAATAGCCGGTTTTGAGGTCTGATACCATGTTTAGGCGTCAACAACTTCTCAACTAATTACATGTCATAGTCACAGTTTTCAGCGTTGATAGAAGTTATAGTTTTAATTTGACAACTAAAAGCTGGTGATCCAATTCTTATGGGCCTTTATGTAATCGGAACTGGAAAAACAGTGATTTACTCAGGAAAACTAGTTTTTTTCGACTAAAATGCTATGTTTAACTATTAGTAACTTTGAATATAATGATACTTGATGCTCCCAATTTTTAGCGTTGATAGGAATGACATTCCTTTTTATGATATTAATAATTTGGTAATTTAATGTGTAACAGTCATTGAAAAAAAAATACAAAAAAATGCCTATTTGTTTAAAAAATACCTTCTTTATTCAACTAATATGCTATGTTTAAGCATTCATATATTAAAAAATAATTATACCTAATGCTTAGAACTTTCAATATGGATAGAAATAGTAATTGTTAAGTGATACTCATGATTTGATAGCTTAATTGGTATTATTCTAGTTTATAAATAAAATATGAATATACTGTAGCCATTGTTCAATATATATTAACTTCTATTTTAACATGTTTAGTATGCAACCATAACTTAAAAAGCAAGTACTGTGATGTTCACAATTTTAGACATTGATAGGAATGCAAGTGTTGAAAGACACTGAGATAATTTGGTAACCTAATTCAAAGTAGTCATTGTAATAAATAGAAGTGAAAGGGGGCCATTTTATGCATACTTTTTCAACTACCTTGCTTTGATGATTAAGCTAAATCATAACTTTAAAAGTAATTATATATAATACTCATAATTGTAGCATTGTCGGATTAACACTAATGACAATTTACTTTGATGAAACTGTTCATTAAGCAACTTTTTATTTTGTAGACTAAAATGATATTCTTGCTATCAATAACTTTGGTTATCAGCCATCATTTTTATAATGAAAGTAATGGAAATTGTATTATTATACTTAAAAATAGAAACCTCATTCTGATATCAGGAATTTGTTCTACTACTACTACTACATTTACCAAAGCAACATGCTATGTTTAAGCATCAATATTTAAAATACATAATTATACATGACACTTTACTCATAATTTCTGTTATTTTAATAAAACTGAAAAAGACAACTTATCCTGGACT